GAGGAAGAATAAGAAAAGGAAGCGAAAGAGAAGAAGAGGAGGAGGAGATGAAGGATGAGGGCAATACAGATGGGGTTGATGAAGGGGCGGGGGGGGGGGGGGCAGGACCGCGATGCCGAAAACGCGGTGCTTGATGGGGCGGTGGGAGGGGGGGGCAGGGGGGTGAGGGGGCTAATTTTCAGAAGGAGGAGAAAGAATAGGAATTAGGGAAGGATTAGGGGTGTATGAAGACAAGAAGGAAGAAGTACGAAAGAATATAAGAAAATAAAAATAATATGCTTAAAGGAGAAATGGACGGAGAGAGAGAGAGAGAGAGAGAGAGAGAGAGAGAGAGAGAGAGAGAGAGAGAGAGAGAGAGAGAGAGAGAGAGAGAGAGAGAGAGAGAGAGGAAAAGAGAGAGAATGGATTCCGACAGCACAGGCACATGGGACATGGTCGGGGGTGGAGTTAAAGTGCGTGTGTGCGTCCGGGAGGGGCGGGGGAAAGTGGGAGAGAGGAGGAGGGGGAGAGATGGAGAGAGGGAGAGAGAGAGTGAATGAGGAGGAGAGGGAGAGAGGGAGAGAGAGAGTGAATGAGGAGGAGAGGGAGAGAGGGAGAGAGAGAGTGAAAGAGGAGGAGAGGGAGAGAGGGAGAGAGAGAGTGAAAGAGGAGGGGGAGAGAGGGCGAGAGGGAGAGAGAGAGTGAAGAGGAGGAGGGGAGAGGGAGAGAGAGAGAGTGAAGAGGAGGAGGGGGAGAGAGGAGAGAGAGAGAGTGAAAGAGGAGGAGGGGGAGAGGAGAGTGATTGAGGGGGGTTTGTTTGGGTCGGAGTCTCGGCAGCGCCATTGATTCCGCCGCGGGTTTAGACGGCCTTGTCGGGTCGGCCAGCGTGCAGGTCAGCGCGTCACTGCAGCGCGGCGGCGGCGGAGATGCAAGGGGGGTGTAGCGGCGGCGGGAGCGGTGGCGATGGAAGCGGTAGCGATGGAGGCGGCGGTAGTGGTAGGGATGGAGGCGGCGGTAGCGGTAGGGATGGAGGCGGCGGTAGCGGTGGGGATGGAGGGGGCGATAGCGGTAGGGATGGAGGCGGCGGTAGCGGTGGGGATGGAGGCGGCGATAGCGGTAGGGATGGAGGCGGCGGTAGCGGTAGGGATGGAGGCGGCGGTAGCGGTAGGGATGGAGGCGGCGGTAGCGGTAGCGATGGAGGCGGCGGTAGCGGTAGGGATGGAGGCGGCGGTAGCGGTAGGGATGGAGGCGGCGGTAGCGGTGGCGATGGAGGCGGCGGTAGCGGTAGGGATGGAGGCGGCGGTAGCGGTGGCGATGGAGGCGGCGGTGGCGGTAGGGATGGAGGCGGCGGTAACGGTGGCGATGGAGGCGGCGGTAGCGGTAGGGATGGAGGCGGCGGTAGCGGTAGGGATGGAGGCGGCGGTAGCGGTAGGGATGGAGGCGGCGGTAGCGGTAGGGATGGAGGCGGCGGTGGCGGTAGGGATGGAGGCGGCGGTAGCGGTAGCGATGGAGGCGGGCGGTAGCGGGTAGGGATGGAGGCGGCGGTAGCGGTAGGGATGGAGGCGGCGGTAGCGGTGGCGATGGAGGCGGCGGTGGCGGTAGGGATGGAGGCGGCGGTAGCGGTAGGGATGGAGGCGGCGGTAGCGGTAGCGATGGAGGCGGCGGTAGCGGTAGGGATGGAGGCGGCGGTAGCGGTAGCGATGGAGGCGGCGGTAGCGGTAGGGATGGAGGCGGCGGTAGCGGTAGCGATGGAGGC